ATGCCCTGCTGTGATTGGAGGCCCGCTCCAGGCGTGCGCTCATTTGCCACGCCCCACCCAGTAGCCCCGCCCCGTGCGCTGGGAATCAGAGCCCTGGATCCCTCTCTACAGTCTGCGCCCTGGCTCAAAGCTCTAGTAGTCTGACCTCCACCCCAAAGGTCCCTGCATTCTGAGCTTTGCCCCCACTTTCCAATATTGGAACTTGAATTCCAAGACCCGCCCAGCACTTCCTGCTTAAGGACAGCTTCCCCAAATGGGTTTCTGTTTATGAGTTCTGAAACTAAGTCCCTAACTGCAGTCAGTCGAGCTCCTTGGGAAACTGAGGCACAGAGTGGGTTAGTGAGTGATTCACCCAAAACAGGACTTGCCAGTCTCACATTCTCTGAGAAGCCAAAAATAGCAATCAGGAAGCATATGACGAGATGGCAATGATGAGACAGATGGGGTGGTATGAATATTTCAGGGGTCACTGAAGGAGATGACTGCTGGGTGAGATGGAGGTATTAGGGCTGAGTCTTTATGGTTGGAGAAAATTGGAACCCGCGAGGTTGGTAACAAGGGCATAGAGGAAGGGCATGCTCACAGGTAAAGAAGTAGAACATTATACCCAGGGGCTGGAATCAAGGCTAGAACAAAGAGCAGGATGGCTAGGAGTCAGAGAGGTGATAGTGGGTTGCTGGGGACAGGCAAACTTCAGGACGAGGATTCTGAACTTTCTGGGGAGGTACTAGGGAGTCATGGAAGGATTTGGAGCAGGAGAGGATCAGGGTCAGCCCTAGTGTGTGGGAAAGCCAGGAGAGGAACCCTAAAGTGAGACAGCACATAGGCTCCTTGTCTGTTGAAGGTAATTGAAACATTGGCTTGGGTAAGAGTATCCAAGACAGGAATGAGAGGGAGAAGTGAAGAGGGTTTGGGGAAGATCAAGGGTCCAACAGATGAACCTGATGAAGGGCACTGAGAAGTGTCTACAGAAGCAGAAGGGCGGGGTTTGTTTTCTTTTTCATGCAGTGCTTGAGACTGGCCCTAGGTCTCTCGTCTTAATTTTTTTTTTTTTTTTTTTGTACTAGGGATTGAACTCAGGGGCACTCGACCCCTGAGCCACATCCCCAACCCTATTTTGAATGTTATTTAGAGACAAGGTCTCACTGAGTTGCTGAGGGCCTTGCAAAGTTGCTGCAGCTGCCTTGGAACTCGCGATACTCGTTCCTCAGCCTCTCCAGCCACTGGGATTATGGGCATGTGCCATTGCACTCGGCTACTGGCCTTAACTTTTTTTTGTTAGAGCATTATAATTATACATAGTATTTGGGTTCATTTTGACAAAATTATACATGTAAGAAATTTGATTGTAATCCCCATTCCCCCTTTCCCCATTCTTTCTCCTCTACTGGCACTTTCTACAAATACATACAGGTGAAACTCCCTTTGGGGTGTGTGTGTGTGTGTGTGTGTGTGTATACACATATGTATATATCATGATTTTGTCAAATTTATTCCATCTTTCTTCCCCTTTCTCTTCTTCCCTCCCTCTTACCTCTTACTGCACTGATCTTCCTTGTGGCTTTATAATCTCCAATCCCCTCCCCCACTTGCCTCCTTTCCTTTAATCTGCTCCATCTTCCACCAGCACATGCCATTCCTTCATCCTTCTTTATGGCTGAGTATAACTCCATTGTGTATCTATTTACCACGTCTTCTTGATCCATTTATCTATGGGAATCTGGGTTGATTCTATAATTTGACTATTGTGAATTGTGCTGCTATAAACATGGATGTGCCTGGATTGCTACAGTATGCTGATTTTAGATCTTTTGGATAATTTCCAAGGAGTGGAATAGCTGGGTCATATGGTGTTTCCATTCCTAGTTTTTTGAGGAATCTCCACACTCTGTTCCAGAGTGGTTGCACTAATGTTCAGTACCACCAACAATATACAAGTGTACCTATTTCCCCTCATCCTTGCCAGAATTTATTATTGTTCATGGTTTTTGTTGTTGTTTGTTTGTTTGTTGAACCCAGGGGTGCTTAACCACTGAGCCACATCTCCAGCCTTTTTTATTTATTCTTTTATTTTGAGACAGGGTCTTGCTAAGATGCTTATGACCTCCCTAAATTACTGAGACTGGCCTTGAACCCGCGCTCCTCCTGCCTCAGCTTTCCAAGCTGCTGGGATTACAGGTGTGTGATTCTGACTGAAGTGAGATGAAATCTTAGTGTAGCTTTGATTTGCATTTCCCTGACTGCTAGAGACATTAAACATTTTTTCATATTTTTTGTCCACTTGTGTTTCTTCTTTTAAGAAATTTCTGTTTAGTTCTTTTGCCCATTCATTGATTGGCTTATTTAATTTTTTAGCATTAAGTTTTTTGAGTTCTTTATTCTGGATATTAATCCTCTGTCAGAGGAGTAGCTGACAAAGATTTTCTCCTAATTTGTAGACTTCCTCTTCACTCTCTCAATCATTTCCTTTGCTATGGAGAAGATTTTTAATTTGATGGCATCCCAGTTATTGATTCTTGGTTTTATTTCTTGAGCTTTGTTGAGGAAGCCTGCATCTATATGATGGATGTTTTCTCCTAGCAGTTGCAAGTTTTCTGGTTCAATTCCTAAGTTTCTGAACCACTTTGATTTGACTTTTGTGCAGGGTGAGAAATAGGGATCTAATTCCATTCTTCTACATATGAATACCCAGTTTTCCCTGCACCATTTGTTTAAAAGCCTTGTCTTTTCTCTACATCTACTTTTGGCATCTGTCAAGGATCAGATGACTGTAAGTGTGTGGGTTTGTCTCTGTCTTCTTTTCCATTGGTCTTCATGTCCATGTTGATGCCAGCATCTGGTCTTATATTATTATTCCTCCATGCCTAGACCAGATTCTTATATATATATACACACACATGCTCATATATATACATACACAACATACACAGACACGTTTATTGCATCTCCACACCACTGCCAATTTTAACATACACTATTATCTAATGCACAACCACCAAAATGAGGCCAGAGAAAGTCTGACACAGTGATCCCCCCTTCTGTACTGGGGACTGAACCCAGGGGCACTCTACCACTGAGCTACACCCCCAGCCCTTTGTATCTTTTGTTTTGAGACAGGGTCTTACTACACTGCCAAGGTTGGCCTCAAACTATTGATCTCCTCCCTGGGCCTCCTGACTAGCTGGGATCCCAAGCAGGTGCCGCAGTGACTTCTCCAGGGATCCTATGTTTGCAAATTCGCCCACTCATTAAAATCTATTTGTAAACCCCAAATCAGTTCTTGCAGCTCTTTCATGGTCATTTGAGGACACAAGAGAGGGACAAAAAAAGTTCTCAGCTTTGGTTGAACCAGACAATCCTCTGCCTTCTGGTTTCAGTGCCCCTGCTGTAAACAAGTATCTTTTTTAGTGCTGTTTTTTGGGTTTTTTTTTTTTTTTGCATTTTTGTGCTTTTTCTTGGTGATTTTGCTATTTAAAATGTCCTAGTGTGGTGCTGAAGTGCTGCTGCTCTTGAGCACAGGAAGCTGGATTTGCCTTCTGGAGAGAATACATGTGTTGGATAAGCTTCCTTCAGTGCTGTGGTCATGAGTTCGGTGCCAGTTCCCGGACAGCATACAGCCAACAAGATGGTTTTAAACAGAAGCACTCTGATGAATATCACCTGGGTTTATCCAGGAGACAGACATGTGACCCGAAGCTTGAGGGCCCCATCCCTGTGTTTCCCAGGAGTGCCACATTCACTCATTGAGCGTTTGCAGGGATGTGAAACATACCTCGGATAAAAACCCAGCTGTGTGTTAAAAGAGCTCATTGAGATTGAGGTTTGTAGCAAAAATCATCCCTGAGCAGATTTTAAGGAGGAAATCGTAAAGCAGCAAATTGGCTGAGGCACTGAGGACCGTCCTGTGCTGTGCTGTTTTGCCGCCACTCAGCTTCATCCCCCTTGGCCAGGTGGCACTTCCAGGAAGAACCCGTGATGTCACTAAAGCCATTGACACAGGGCACTAAAGCAGCTTTTAGTAAAACTGGCCTAATTTTCCCCTCTTGTTGGGGATTTTCTAACCAGTCTGATTCGTCACTACCCCTTCCCTTTCCCACACTGTTTGGTTCCTGAGGTTGAAATCTTGCTCCACTATTGTTTCTGGGATTTTCTGCTGAGTTATAGACACCTTTCAGCGAGGCTTGGTGCTGAAATTTTTTCTCTATTAAAAAGAATTTTTTATTATGTGTATATTAAAATGTTACAGAGTAAAATGCACAGATCTTAAGAAAGATGCACAGCTTGAGGAAGCCTGATATATGCAGGATGCTTATGTAACTGCACACTATAGAGCTTTTCTAGCATTTGCCAGAAGCTTCTGGATTTTTCTAGAAGGTGTAGCACATCCCCAGTTCTAAGTATAAGGAAATGTAAGATGCCATAAACTTTAAGATGCAAGTATCCTGGTGAAAGGTGCAAGCCTGTAATCCCAGTGACTCCGGAAGCTGAGGCAAGAGGATCACAGGTTCAAAGCCAGCCTCAGCAAAAGGCAAGGTGCTAAGCAACTCAATGAGACCCTGACTCGAAATAAAATACAAAATAGGGCTGGGGATGTGGCTCAGTGGTTGAGTGCCCTTGAGTTCAATCCCTGGTAACCCCCCCTCAAAAGAAGATGCAAGTAAACACACATATGTGATAGATTCTGTAATGTAGAAAAGGAAAACATCTTGAACATTAAGTCCCCTCCAGCCACCTCCCTCTAATTCTGCTATCTCATTTCCTGTGAGAAACACTTTGGCCAGGGTCTTAGATGTTTATAAGCATATTCTGTACCCAAAGAAATAGATCCGTACATAAATATACATAATTTTTATTGTAGTAAAATATACATAGCATAAAGCTTTCCATTTTCACCTTTTAAGTCTCCAGTTCAATGGCGTTGATTCATTAACCATGTTGTGTTGCCATCTATTCTATTGTGTTACCAGTATCTATTTCCAGAACTTTCTCACCATCTCAAACAAACTCTGTCCATCCCTGGTGAATTCTCTTCTCTGCCTCTCTGGGTTTGCCTAGTTTAGGTTTTTTGTATAAATGGAATCGTACAATAGTTGTCCTTTGGAGCCTGACTCCTTCTACTTAGCCTCAGGTCTTCAGGATCCACCTGGGTGGCAGCTGAGTCAGAACTTCGCTCCTTCTAAGGTTTCTGGGCTGTAGCTCAGATAGCACTCGTGATTAGCAAGTACAAGACCCTGGCTTCATGCCCAGCACCACAAAACAATTTTTTTCCTTTTTATGGTTGAATAACACTTTACTACATCTATCTCCACATTTTGCTTGTCCATTTATCTGTGGATGGACATAAAAATGGTATTTTTAAAAATTTCAAATCAGAGCCAGGTACAGGGATGCACACCTTTGATCTCAGTGACTCAGGGGGCTGAGGCAGGAGGATCGAAAATTGGAGACCATCCCAGGCAACTTAGCAAAACCCATTTTTTAAAAAATGTTTAAAAAGGGCTGCGGTTGGGGGGAGTGGGGCTGGGGTTTGTGGCTCAGCGGTAAAGCTCTTGCCTAGCACGTGGGAGGCCCTGGGTTCAATCTTCAGCACCACATAAAAATAAATAAGTAAAATAAAGGTATTATGTCAAACTACAACTAAAAAATAAAATAAAACAAAAAGGGCTGGGGATATAACTTAGTGGTAAAGCACCCCTGGGTTCAATCCTCAGCACAGAAAAAAAAAAAAATCAAATTGATCATTCCACATACCTTGTGCTCCTAGGTTTTTTTCATTCAAAAATATGTCTTGATGCTTATGTAGTGTCAATAAACACAGATAACAAATAAAAAATATAATACCAATGCATCTTGTTCTTTTAACAACTTTGTAATATTCCACAGCCTGAGTGTAGCATTGATTAGTTAACTGATCCTCTATCCACGGACATCTAGGTTATTGCTAGTGACTGATCATTATGCCCTCCTTCATCGAACTCCACCCTCCCTATGTGACATAGAAAACTTAGTAGACTCTCCCAACCCACTGTCCCTCCTCTTCAAGGTTCCTTGTCTTCCCAGGTCAGTGACTGGTGGGAAGAATTTGTGTACCTGCGCTCCCGCAACTCACTGATGGTGAACAGCAACTATTACATGATGGTGAGAGGGACGGAAAGGCTGGGGGTGGCTGGAGAGCCCCAGGTCGAGGGTTGGTGCCTGGGTAAAATGAGGCATTTATGGCCCGTGACTTGAATCTGGGACTGCAGTCTCAAATAATAATTTACCCTGTTTTGGGTTGGGAGCGCCCCTCAGGGGCACCCTGGCCTTGGTGTCTTGCCACCTCTGTCTGCTCTGGCCCCCAGGACTTCCTGTATGTCACACCCACACCGCTGCAGGCAGCTCGTGCAGGGAATGCAGTCCATGCCCTGCTCCTCTACCGACACCGTCTGAACCGCCAGGAGATTCCCCCGGTAAGACAGCCACTGCGTGCTGGGGACAGAGGTCTGGTCCCCTGGCGTTGGGACCCCATGGGTCCCAGAAGGCAGCTCACAAGCGAATGGCCTCCTGCAGAATTTGCTGATGGGAATGCGCCCCTTGTGCTCTGCCCAGTATGAGAAGATATTCAACACTACGCGCGTGCCAGGGGTCCAAAAAGGTGAGACCCCACCGCTCCCCTCCCACTGATGAGACAAAACTACGGGTCCTCCGGAGCCAGCCTGCATCCATCTTTCCGCTGTGGCCTTGGGCAAGTTATTACTCAGTTTATAACTTGCCTCAGTTTCCTCATCCCTGAAATGGGGTAATAGTGGTACCTAGGGGGTGAAGATGAGACACGTGTTAAGAACTGCTCAAGGCACACAGGAAGTGCTGAACCAATGGTCGTTATTCTTCTCGTGTGTCTGGCCTTCCCCACCCCCTGCTTCTGCCAACACCACCCTAGACTACATCCGCCACCTCCAGGACAGCCGACATGTGGCCGTCTTCCACCGGGGTCGATTCTTCCGTGTGGGGACCCATTCCCAAAATGGCCTGCTCTCCCCGAGGGCCCTGGAGCAGCAGTTCCAGCGAATCCTAGATGACCCCTCGCCCGCCTGTCCCCACGAGGAGCACCTGGCGGCCCTGACGGCTGCTCCCAGGTGAGGTGCAGAAGGCAGGGGCTCCAGAGCCCGGCCTGGCGTCGTGGAAGGACAGGTGGGGCTCCGGGTGGAGGCCGGGCAGGGCGCAGGGCCAGCTGGCTCAGGCGCGTCCCGCCGGACAGGGGTATGTGGGCCCAGGTGCGGAAGTCCCTGAAGACCCAGGCCGCCCAGGCCCTGGAGGCGGTGGAGGGGGCCGCTTTCTTTGTGTCTCTGGCCGCGGAGCCAGCCGGGCTCACCAGGGAGGACCCCGCAGCTTCTCTGGATGCCTATGCCCACGCCCTGCTGGTGGGCAGGGGCCACGACCGGTGAGTCAGCCCTGGGCAACAAGACCCTGCACCCCAGGCCTGGGCAACCTCTAGATCCAGGGCTGAGGACCCCATACCCAGTGCCTTGGGACTGCGAGAACTTTGAACCAGAGAACCCCTCAACCTGGGACCCCAGATCCATAACCAGGACCCTAGGGCTCCAGACCTGAGACCACAAGTCCCTGAGCTAGACCTAGAAACCTCTAGATCTGGGACCCTAGACCCATAACCAAAAGACTCAGCATTCCCAAAACCCAGAGCCATTGAACCCCGAATGTGGGGACCTCAAATTCAGAGCTTGGACCACTGAACCCTCAAATCTTCATGCAGTCACTCCAAACCCAGGTTCCCCGGACCTGAGCCCCCCCCCACACACACACACACACAGGGAGAGCCTCAGAAAACTTCCTTGCCCACAGGGCTCCACTGTGACATCCCAGGCCCAGGATGTCTAAAAACTACCTAAAAATTCCTGAATGCCCTACATCTTAGACATGTCTGTGGACCCTGCAGAGCCACCTGCTACAGACCCCCAACACTCCTAGAGGAGTCCCCACACCAACATTCCAGCTGCCCTCACGTTCCTTCCCTGAAACTCCCCAGCAAGTCCCACAGTGCACCCCAAGCCTTTCTCACTGCTCCCCACCTCTGTGCCCCTGCTGAACTTTCTCCCACAGCTGGTTTGACAAATCCTTCACCTTGATTGTCTTCTCCAACGGGAAGCTGGGCCTCAGTGTGGAGCACTCGTGGGCTGACTGCCCCATCTCAGGACACATGTGGGAGGTAGGCAGTAGCTGCTGCAGGCTGGGGGTGGGCAGGTGGAGAAGCAAGTTGGGGATGATGGCTTCCTTTGCTGAATGTGGGTAGTGGGGGCTCAGAGAAGGGAAGTGTTTTTCCTTTGAGTCACACAGCAAAGAGTTGCAGAGTCAGAACATGAATCCAGAGTGCTCTGACACCACAGTGTAAGGCCTTTCCACCAACACATACCGAGAAGAACTATCTTCTAGCTCTGGTTTGCTATGTAATCTTGGGCAAGCTACTCTCCTGCTCTGAGCTTCAATATCCCCTTCCTCAAATGAATCAGTTGGATTTGTGTGTGTGTGTGTGTAATGCTGGGTCTTGAACTCAGGGGGGTACTCTACCACTGAACTACTCAAGGGTCTTTCTAAGTTGCTGAGGCTGGCCTTGAACTTGCCATCCTCCTGACTCAGCCTCCTGAGTAGCTGGGATTATAGTGTGATCCACTGCACCCAGCCTAATTATATCTTTAAGTGAAACTCAATTCAGTTTAACCTTAGACCCTTCAGACCACTTCATGCCAGTTTGTCATCTCTGCATATTGACTAAAGGCAAGATGTGAGCTGGACACGGTGGCTGGCACTTACCTGTAATTCCAGCTATTCAGGAGGCTGAGGCAGGAGGATCACAAGTTGGAGGTCAGCCTGAGAAATTCAGTGAGACCCTGCCTTAAAACTTAAAGAAAAAAAAAGAGGGTCTTGGCTGGGATGTAGCTCAGTGGTAGAGCACTTGCAGCATGCAGCCTGAGTTTGATCCCTAATACCACAAAAAAATAAATAGAAGAGAGGTAACAAAGGGTAAGAAAAAGATGAACACAAACTCTTACGCCACAAATGAGATGTTCTTTCTGGTGTGACTCACACCTGAAGTCCCAGTGACTCGGGAGGCTGAGGTAGGAAGATCACAAGTTCCAGGCCAGCCTCAACAACTTAGTGAGACCCTGTCTCAAAAAATAAAAAGGGCTGGGGATGTGGCTCAGGGGTAGTGCATCCCTGGGTTCAATCCCCAGGACCACAAAATAAATAAAATAAAAATAAACAAGTGAGGTGCTCATCCTATGTGTTGGATGTCACAGTGGGAGGTCAAGCCCGTCGTCCTAGGGTGGTTGTGAGATGTCATTGACATGTGAACCTGGAGGGCAGGTACAGCAGGTGCCTGGTCAGGGCGGATTTAAAATATTTGACACCAGCGAGGTGTGGGCGGCACCGGATCCCAGTGAAAGCTGGGCCTCACAGCAGCTTCTTTCCAGTCCCAGGATGGTGGCGGGGTTCTGGGAAGGTAGGCTGCTGCTGGTGACTCTATTTACCAGCCTGTCCAGGGTCAGCAGCACCAGCTAAAGCGTTAGTCCTGTTCTCAATGCGCATGAACCTGGGAGCCCACCGTGAACCTCGGGGGTCGGTGGTTCTTAGGGAATGCCCTTCCCTGAAGAGACACAGCCTGGTCAGATGGCCACAGTCCACAGGGAGGAGGGCCTCTCGCAGCCTCTGGTTGTCCACAGTTCACTCTGGCTACAGAATGCTTTCAGCTGGGCTACTCAGCAGATGGCCACTGCAAGGGGCGTCCTGACCCCACGCTGCCCCAGCCCCAGCGGCTGCAGTGGGACCTTCCAGAACAGGTGAAGTCAGGCTTCCTTCAAGCCCCCAAATCCTAGCCTTGGCTCTAAAGCCCTCCCCATCCTTATCCTTGGCCTTGGAATCAACCCTAACGCCAGCCAACCCCAGTCCATACCTCATGCCAGATCTAACACTCAAACACCTCGGCAGCCTCAAAGCCCAGCCTGTCTCCAGCTCCTTCTCAAGCCCCACTCCCGCCCGTCCCACTGCCCAACCTGCTCAACTCACCCTACCCCAGTCCTGTCCCGTCACCGAGCCCAACTCCTCCCCGCTCCAACCCCGCTCATTCCCAACACCGGGACCATTCCTAGATTCAGCCCCTCCCCCGCCCTAGCCCCAGCCTCAGTTCAGTCTCAGAGCAGCCCCCAGCCCTGTCCCAGCCCCCAGCCCTGTCCCAGCTCCCGCCCGGCAGCCCAGGCGAGCACTCCTCTGCACTTCCATCTCTGGCCACAGCTCATACCCCATCTCCATCCCTGCGTCTCCACCGTCAATGACTTCACCCTTCCTTCCCTCCATACCCCACTCCCCAACTCCATGCCATCTCCCAGCCCCATTCCTGGCTCTAACCAGCCCCGTCTGTAAGACCAACCATCCCTCCTCCCTCGCTCTCCGGCAGGTCCACCTGTCCATCTCTCTCGCCCTGCGGGGAGCCGAGACGTTGTCCAGCAACGTCGACTGCCACGTCTTCCCCTTCTCCCACTTTGGCAAGAGCTTCATCAAACGCTGCCATCTCTCTCCAGACAGCTTCGTCCAGATGGCCCTGCAGCTGGCCCACTTCCGGGTCAGTCTCGGTCCCCCATGCCAGCCCATCCGGACCTCAGCCTCCCTGGGCTCCCACCACCTGCCTCTCAGCCTCCTCCATTACTTGTCTTTGCCCTGGTGGATCCACCATCTTGAATTCTCCACACACTGGGGGCAGGAGGCTGGAGGTCTGGATGAGGTGGGTCAACTGTGACCACTTCCTGACGGGCTCCTCTCTTCCTTGTCCCCCAGGACAGGGGTCAGTTCTGCCTGACCTACGAGTCGGCCATGACGCGCTTGTTCCTGGAAGGCAGGACCGAGACAGTGCGGTCTTGCACGCGGGAGGCCTGCGACTTCGTGAGAGCCATGGAGGACCAGGAGAAGACAGTGGGTGTGGCCTCCTGGGAGGCTTCCCTCAGGCATTTGCTCACACTTGTGGCTGGGCTCTGTGACGGGCGCCAGGGACAAAGGAGGAACCAGACCTGGTCTCTGGCTTCAAAGAACCCATGGATTGAGACAGAGATAGCCCCGCATAGCCTGCTCTTATGGCGGTCACACAGAGCATGGGGGGAGCACCCGAGAGGGAGCCCTGTTTCCAGTATGGCTCTCTTTGCTTATTTAGCCTGTGTAACCTGTGACCAGATGCACCATTCCTTATAACCTCTCTGCCCAGAACCTCCCCCAAGGCACCTCTGTTCCTGTCTCCCCTTATCTATGAGATATTGTGGTTCAGTGGAAGGAATTTGGGCTCCGGAGTCAGACAGACCTGGGAACCCACCTGGTTTTGCCTTGCTTGCTGTGTGACCTTGGGCAAGTGACTTCCCATTCTGAGTCTGATTTCCTTCTGTAAAGTGGCGTGAATATCCCTGCCTTGCAGGGATGTTGCAAGCTGGCTAGATGCCAGGCATGCCACAGGCCCAGCAGTAAGCCCACCTCCTGTCTTTGCATGACCTGCGACCTCCCCGGGGACCCCAGGACCCACAGTGCCTCGCCCTGTTCCGAGTAGCGGTGGAGAAGCACCAGGCTCTACTGAAGGCAGCGATGTGCGGGCAGGGGGTCGACCGCCACCTCTTTGCGCTCTACATCGTGTCCCGATTCCTCCACGTGCAGTCACCCTTCCTGGCCCAGGTCGGGGTGCAGGGAAAGGGTTAGGAGGTGCTGGGGAAACCCTGGGAAAGGGAGGGGTTTCAGAGCAGCAAGGGTGAGGTTGGAAAAGGAGAAATCAGCAGGGGGGGTGGTGGGAGAAATCCCCAGAAGGGGCGGGGCAGGGAATCAGGAGGGATGTTGAGGGTGGACCGACCTAGAGGAGCCCAGGGTAGGCCTGTCTTTCCTGAATACGTGACTGTCTCCTGTCCTCAGGTTCACTCGGAGCTGTGGCCGCTGTCCACCAGCCAGATCCCTGTGCAGCAGACGCACCTGTTTGACGTCCACAACTACCCAGATTACGTTTCCTCGGGTGGCGGATTCGGCCCTGTGCGGAGCTGGGGACCTGGGCCCGAGGGAGGAGGAGCTGGCGGCTCTCCTGCGCGGGAGGGAGTTATTTTGTTTCCTTCACTTTCTCCCACTCCAGGCGGATGACCATGGGTACGGGGTTTCTTACATCTTCATGGGGGATGACATGATCACCTTCCACATCTCCAGCAAAAAATCAAGCACAAAAACGGTGAGACAGGCTTTACCGCCGCCTCCACCTCCACCCTCCTCCCTCGGACCCAGGGGTCCTGGCCCAAGCCCTGCTTCCTTGGAGCCGGGAGTCTAACCCCCTGTGTCGCTCAGCCCCACGAGCCCCAGCTTCCCCTGCGTGTGTTTCCTCCAGGACTCCCACCGGCTGGGGCAGCACATCGAGGATGCTCTGTTGGACGTGGCCTCCTTGTTCCAGGCAGGGCAGCGTCTTAAGCGCCGGCGCAGAGGGCCAGGGGATGAGGACTCGGGACACAGACGTGGATTTATCTCCAATAAGACTGTGGATTCCAAAGCACCCAGGACCTCCACACCCGCTGACCCCTTCCAGTAGGGAGCTGGTCTCCCTTAGGGACGAGTGTGCAGATCCCCACAGCTGGGCTGGCGCAGGACAGGGTGGCCAGTTTGGCAGCCCAAAATCTGGGCCAATAAAGATGTGTGAGCTGGGTGTGTGGTTTCCACTGTGCCCTTGGGCAGGGCAGGGCAGGGGTGGTGGAGGTGAGGATCAGGGTGCCAGAGAAGAGTTTCCATGCACCCAGTCCCACCATGGATTCCCAGTGACAACCTCAGTTACAGCCCCAGCACCTGCCAACCTGCTCCGTTCCTGCCTCTAACCATAGTGAACCAGCCCTTCCTGACCAGCTCCAATCCAAGACCCATGGGTTCTCATGAGCTCGGTTCCTGCTGCCCCACCTCAAACTCCTCTATAAACCTAAACTGTGGACACACAGGGCCTCAGGCACTCTAGGCAAAACATCCACCTTTGAGCTACATCCCCAGCCACTTCCACCGAGAATCTGACTACCCAACCCAACCCCAGCCATTTCAGCCTCTTCTCTGTGGTGGATTCGGCCCCCCTGACTAGGGAATGTCCGCCCTCCTGACCACTGCCATGATCCAGCAATCCATAACTCCAGGACCCACACTCCCGTGCCCCCAGCAACTCAACTGCAGCTAGAACCACACAATCAACATGAAAAAAATCCTACCCCAAACTCCACCGTATCCACCAAACCTCCTTTCCCATCTCTCCCATGATCTAAACTTTGGATTTAAACCCCCTATTTCCTATCACACCTGTATTATTCTCCAATGTGCCACCACTATAGTCCCACCAGCCCAACCGCATTGTACCAGCACCAAACCCCAACCTTCCAACCCACGATTCCAGTACCCAGGACTGCAGCCACCGTGGCTTCCACCAAGCCTGAGGATACCACCACAACACCACCTAAGTTCTGAGCAAGTCAGTCTCCACACTTGATCGAGCAAGTCAGTCGATCCACCACTCTGTGGTGGTCTCAAACACTGTCCACAAGCACTTTCACATTCGTCCCTCTAAAAGGTGGGGACAAATCTCCCTCCCCGGAGTATGGGCTGGGCTTAATGATTTCTAGCTAAAGGAATGTGGTAGAAGTGACTAGGTCAAAAGAAACACTGTGGTTTTCTTCTTGCCCCATTTCTGAGTCTCTTTGGGGGGAGACAGACATGAAGACAATCAACCTACCTGAGAGGCCCCTGTGACGAGGCCTCCTGTCAACAGCCTGGGCAGAAGCACTGAGGGTGCCATCTTGGAAGCAGATCCTCCAGCCCCTGTCATCAGCTCTCAGATGACTGCAGCCCAGCTGACGTCTTCACTGTAACTTCGTGAGGGACCCTGAGCCAAAACCACCCAGCCAAGCCACTTCTGAGCTTCCTGACTCTCAGAAACTATGTGAGATGATAAATGTTTGTTGTCTGAAGCCGCCATATTTTGAGGTAACATTTTCTTTATACAGCAATAGAGAACTAAGACAAATTCCAAACACCTCAGCCTCAACTCCATACCCTTCGACCCATTCCAATTCCAAACCCCATTTCCAAACCCATATCTGAGGTGACCCTCCAATGACCTCACACTCTTAGTGTCCACACCTTTGTATAATCAGTTGCTTTGAGAGTGGTAGGACCTGTAACTTGCTTCTGACCAACAGGCCATGGCGAGGGGGATTGGTTGTCGATCCCTGTGTAGACTCCATCCTGGCAGAGTGAGGTGACAGATTGTCCTTGTGGGCTCTCAGCCAAAGTGTCTTCCACAAGGAACTTCGGGTGGCCAAGTCCACTCCAGGTAACTTCCAGTAAGACTGCCAGCAAAGCTCCAGGGCCCTTTGTCACACAGCCACAGGCTAATGGCTGCCTGCTTCTTTAATGCTAATCTCTTACTGTCATAATAAATTACCACTAACTTGGCATAAAACACAAATTTATCATCTCACGGGTCAGAAGTTCAGGTACGGCGGGGCTCAGCTGGCTCCTCTGGTTAGTGCTCGGCACCGGCAACAGCAGGTCACGGCCTCACCCGACCCCACCTCTCTTCTCTGCTACATCCCTCTGGCTTTTACAGAATTAGGGGACTAGACTGGGCCAGCAGGATAATTTCCCCAACTCAAGGTCTTAATCCCATCTGCAAAGTCTCCTTAACCGCAAGGCATGATATACTCACAAGTCCAGGAATAAAGGCGTGGCCACCTTCAGGGGCAAATATGGGTCAAACTGTGTCCCCCCGAAAGATATGTTGACTAATGCCCTACACCTCAGGGTGGGATCCTATTTGAAAATAAGGTCATAGTAGATATTATTAGAACGTGTTCACACGGGATTAGGTGGGGCCTCTCTCCCAAGATGGCTGGTATTCCTGGAAGAGGAGAGGCCAGTGAAGTCCAGCCAAGGCTCCCGCAGACAGCAGAAGCTGGAGAGGCAGGGGGCTCCCTCCTGGATTGCCAATCCTTGCAGTCTCCAGAACCGTGAGACGGAGGTATTCCTCTCGTTTCAGCCATGCTGTTCAGACACTTTGTTATGGCACCCTGGGAGATTCATATGTCGCTCACCCCCTCCTGAGGGTGAGCAGGCCCTATGGTTAGGCAAGAAGTTAGCAGCAGCAGCTGGAGAAGGCTGTACCAGAACCCTGGGCACTGCTTTGAAAAAATAGACTTCTTGTTGTTTTTGGTGCTAATTATAGAAGTCAGGGCCTCTTTCACGCTATGCAAGTGCTGTACCACTGAGCTGCATCCCCAGTCCCAGACTTTATTGTTGTGTTTTTATTTATTTATTTATTTATTTAAACAGGGTCTTGCTAAATGGCCCAGACTGGCCTTGAACTGCCTCAGCCTCCCGAGTCACTGGGATTACAGGCATGTGCTACTGTTCCTGGCTCAGATATACACACACTCACATATATAATTATTATTATATTATATATATTTTAGTTGTAGGTGAACACAACACTTTTATTTTTTTATTTTTATGTGGTGCTGAGGACCGAACCCAGTGCTTCACACGTGTAAGGCAAGCGCTCTACCACTGAGCCACAACTCCAGCCCCTTGGCTTTATTTTTTTTAGAGTAGTTTTAAGTTTCCAGAAAAATTGAGCAGCAAGTACAGGGAGTTCCCTTGGACCCCCTGTCCCCCCAACTCACCATCTCCCCTATTGTATATGTCCCCAACTAGAGTCCTTACATGTGTTGCTGTTGATGAGACTGCAGGATTACATCACGATACCCAAAACCACTGTACTACTTGCACAATCTTCTATAAGTCAAAAGCTATTTCGACATGAAAAACATGGTTTAAAATGTTATTTTAAAAATGTACTTAGGGCTTCTTGTGACTAGCCCGACAGATTTGAGAATCACAAGACTTGCAGAAACAAGACAAAAGACCATTTGTTCATGTATTCATTTCATAAACATCCATTAATGTAAAAAAAAATGTAATTAAAAAAAAAAGTTCCGACCTGTCCGGGTATCTGATATTAAGGAGTTATGTTAATTCTCTGTGCATGATAAATGGCTTTGTGGTTATGTTAAAAAGAATCTTTCTCAAGAAATGCATGCTGAAGTATTTCTGGATGAAATGAAATGCTGTGGCTGTGCTTGCAGATGGCCCGGCGGTGAGGGGGTCAGCTTGGCGGCCCGCTGCTGCCACGTGTTTCCACAGATCTAGCGGCTTAAATAGCACTGATTTACCTGACAGTTCTGGAGGTCAGAAGCCAACACGGGTCTCACTGACACTGAAATCAAGGTGTCAGCAGCTCCCCTTCTGGGCAATCTGGAGACCCCTCTCCTGGCCTTTCCCAGTTTCTAGAGCTGGCACCTTCCTGGGCCCATGGCCCCTCCCTCCATCTTCAAAACTGGATCCAGGGCATCTCTGCGCCTTTTTTCCAGGGTCACATCTTCCTCTGACTGACTCCTACCTTCCTCTTTCACTCACAAGGATCCTCGTGTGAAATAAAAAATAAAAAGGATTCAGGGTGTAGCTCAAGGTTCAATCCCCAGAACAACAAAACAAAACCACCTGTGAGCCTCCTGCCTCCGTCTCCCAAGTCGTAGGGATTACCGTGCCCCTGTGCCCAGCAGGGACCCACTGTTTGAAGAATCCCTGTTGGGTCCTCCTGATCTAAATACTTGGGAGGGTCTGACAGAAAGAGCACACCATGGGCAGTGCCAGCTGCAGGTCTCAGGATGGCCTATGTTTGGAAGCTCCTTCTCAACCCCCTGCCAGGAGTTCTTTTGGAATGGTGCATGGCCTTGCTTTGGAATCCTGGGGTCTACACTGTGATGTTCCTCTCAGGGGTCTACACTGTGACTCTCCTCTCAGGGGTCTACACTGTGATGCTCCTCTCAGGAGACTCCTTGGCATAAACTCTCCACGTGCTGTATCTGCAGATCCATAGGCAGTTCTAGTACCACGCGGGTGTGCTGGGTTGCGTGACCCAATTGGCAAAGATGCTTATGCTGAAGTGTACACCTGGTCTGAGTGCCACTCAAAGTGGGAAGTCTTCCAAAAATGAGTTGGAGGAGTATTTCTAAGTATAGAATGCACTTGGAGACGCCTGTGCCCAGGCAGGAAGAACGGTGCTCCTTGGTGGTGACCTGAGTAGTGACTTTTTTTTTTTTGCTACTGGGAGTTGAACCCAGGGCACTCTACCACTGAGCCACATCCCCAGCCCTTTTTCATCTTGGGACAGGGTCTCACTAAGCCGCCCAGGCTGGCCTTCAACAAGGGATCCTCCTGCCTAATTTTTTTTTTTTTTTTGTAGTTGTAGATGGACAGAATGCCTTTATTTTATTTGTTTATTTTTACGTGGTGCTAAGGATTGAATCCAGAGCCTCACACATGCAAGGAAAGCACTCTACCACTGAACCACAGCCCAGCCCCATGAGGTAAAATAATTTTCGACAAGGGTGCAAGGCAGTTCAATGGAGAGGGACAATCATTTCAATAAATGGCATTGGGAAAACTGGATATCTTTGTGTAAAAGAACAAAACTGGACTCTTACTTTATACCATATATCAAAATTAACTCAAAATGGATCCAATTATGTAAATGTAAGAGTTAAAACTATAAAACTCTTAAAGCAAAACATATGGGAAAAGCTTCATGACATTTGAGTTGGCAAGGATTTCTTT